AAAAATATATATTATATATAAATATGTTTTAAATATATATAAATATAAAAATATAAAGTAATCAGAGAAGTAAAGTGATTTGCCCAGTTTCATCTAACAAAATAGTAGAAACATCAGCTAGCAGAACATGTCATAAATAGTGTATATAGAATTCAAATGTTTTTTATTCCCACAAATGGGAGAATTAATTGATGTCACTATCTAGAGCAAAACCGTAAGAACATTTCTCCTGCATTATTTCTTCATTCTTCAGAAATCATTGGCTGCTTCTTTCTCTTTATTGAGTTTCATAACTTCTGGTGTAATTTTTTTTATTTCAAGCTACAGAAAACAATAACATTATTCTGAAACATTTCATTGTAATAAAATGAATTTTGTTTTTAATTACTTGAAATCTTTGCTACACAGGACAGCATCAAAGAATTTCCTAGTGTCATTATAGCATGTAGAGTTGTGGTATTTTCAATAACATGCTTTAAATCTGGAATTAATTAATTACCTCTCTTGGGTAGCAAAGAATCATTCTTACTATAGGGATCAATCTTCTAATATTAAACATGCATTTCCTTTTCTATATTTCACTAGCTGACTTCTATTCTTTTTTGTTTCTTTTTTTTTTTCTGACTTCTATTCTTAATCCTGGGTCTGTGTTAATAAGCAAAATAAAAATTAGTTTGTGAATATTCCTTTGCTTCAATGGTTTGGATCTTGACTTTTTATAAAGATAATACAAAAGAACTTCTGATTCTAAAGAGCCAGACTCAATCTTGAAGCAGTCACCCTGACAGAACATTAGTAGATGGTGTGTGTATTGTTTTAAATCACGAATATCCCTGAAAGGCCTCATGAGCTCATAGGCGGGGCTTTCAGAGGGTGGTTGAATCCTGGGTGTGATACTATTGATTTGCTGTTAGGAGGGAGGGTCTGATCAGAAGAGCAAGGTCCCTGGGATGTAACCTGGAAGGGTCTATTTCTCCCCGCAGTTCCTCCTTTCTGTCTCTGCTTGCTGGCCTCCAAGATGTAAGCAGCTTTTCTCCTTTATGCCTCTCTGCTGTGCCTTTCCTGCACTGGAGCTGCCCAACCATGGTCTGTAACAGTGGGCCAAAATAAAAGCATCTCGCTTTAAGTTTCAGGTGTCAAGTATTGTGTCTCAGAAAGGAGAAAAGTGACTGAGAAAGTATGATAATGTGACTCAGTAGAAAAGAGTCTCAAGTTTCTTGGAAGAACACTGTTGTCTAACACAGAGAGCTGAAATTTTGAATCAGGTAACCTGAGGTCAGTCTGTTTCCGCACTTCATTATATACTGGCTAGATATTGAACAAACTACCTAACATACTGAGAATTTAGGATTTTTTTAAATCTGTAAAGTGGGATAATAAATCCTATCTTTTAGTTGTAAATAGCCAATGAAATATTAAATAACACATCTGTAATATTTATATATTAAGATAACTAAAGAATTACTCAATAATAATTAAAATATGTAATATAAATATAATTGTATTTTGTTTCACTATACATAATTTGACTTCTCAGATATAACCAATAGGAAATTTAATATTTTAAATAGCTTTCTTTTTAAAAATGTTTCTTGGAATTGCTATTTTTAGCCATTAAAAATCTCATATTTATTTTCATTCGTGGTATCTTTTCTAAACTCTATATTTTTCTAAAATTACTGTAAGCTGTGGAGAGCTTTGCCAGTATAGAGAAGTTATTTTTGCTGATTAAAGCAATTTTGTTTAAAATAAATAAACTTTGTGGCAGTCCGAGTGTTCTCTTTATGCGCATACAGAAAGAGCTTACAATGTGGTTAATTGAAAAGATTTGGGAACAAAAAATAATGTTAACAAAATTTCCAGAGAGTTCAATGGACACCAAAACAACATGCAAGAGTGAGTTTATGCCAACTTTTTAAAGTGAATCCTACTTCAAGATGGTTTAAGGTGAACTGACACATCTGGCCACTTAGGTCCCTGGCCAATAAATGTGTGTCGTGGAGATGCCACATTGAAAAAAGCACAGTGGTGAACACCTGTGAATGTTTCACATCTTCCTCATCCCTTTCTTCTAGTAAAGCACAGTACTTTGGAAAAAAAGCTGATCTCATTTCAACCCAGGATCCACCTGGTTCTGAATCTGGAGACAGATGCCTTATGTCATATTACCCTTGACAACAAGTTTAGAAACACAACTCAAGTTTAGCCAATCACAGCTTTTTCCCGTAACAATACATGCACGCGCGCACACGCGTATACACACACACACACACACACACACACACACACACACACAAAGTGCATCTTTCTTTCCTCGGGCTTTCTCTGGTTGTTCTCCTCTACTTCCTCAGGCACAAACAGAAACTCCCCTGCAACCATGAGAATGAAGCTAACAGAGAAAAATGAAAAAAAGCTGATCTCATTTCAACCCAGGATCCACCTGGTTCTGAATCTGGAGACAGATGCCTTATGTCATATTACCCTTGACAACAAGTTTAGAAACACAACTCAAGTTTAGCCAATCACAGCTTTTTCCCGTAACAATACATGCACGCGCGCACACGCGTATACACACACACACACACACACACACACACACACACACACAAAGTGCATCTTTCTTTCCTCGGGCTTTCTCTGGTTGTTCTCCTCTACTTCCTCAGGCACAAAGAGAAACTCCCCTGCAACCATGAGAATGAAGCTAACAGAGAAAAGCAAATTATTCGAGTGTTCAGAGGGGGGACTTCTTTAAGATGATTTAATCGCGAGGGTTCACAGTTGATTGTGTTGTTACAAAGCGGACTTTGGTCAGAAGAGGCTGCTTACTGGGGCTGAGGACTGGAAGGTGCATTCTGCACCCTGGCTCCTCCTCTCGGTCTCCGCTTCCCGGCTGTCACAGATTGCACCGCTTTCTTCTGCCACGCCTTCCACCATATTGTTCTCTCTCGGAGCCAGACAACTGGACTACACCGGGAGCCAAAATAAACCTCTCCTTTATGTTGTGAGTGCTGCGTATTTTGTCCCAGCAGGTGGAAGATGATTAATAATTAGCCTTATGGATATTTTGAAAGACTTTGACAGGGAACATGAGGTGGCCCGAGAGCACAAAAAGGAGATGATGAACCTGAAGCAGAAAAAAAGAAAAACTAGTAAATGATAATGTCAGACAGACTATTGGGGAGCAGGTAATAGAGGCCCAGGTAGTGCATCCTGCTTTTGTCTAAAAGAGAGAAACCAACGATTATGTCAACTGATTCAGGAAAGCATTTGACAACATTCATGACTCATTCCTGATGAAAACTCTCTGCAAACTAGGAAGAAAGACAAAGAAATGTCCTCAATTTGGTAAGGGACATTTTAAAAACTCATACATTTTTTTCAGGTTCTTTTTTCTGAGCTAAGTACAAGTCACATCTTATAGGTAAATAAGCTGATTTTTAAAGATGCTAGGTAACTTCTTTATAGGAATGAAGCTTGGTTAACGGGAACTACAGAGGTCTCATATTTGTCCACTGCATAATAAATTGAACAAGAGACTGCATAACATTATTAAGAAGCCAAATTATTTTTAGGAAACAACTACCAGCTAATAAATGATATGCAGAGATATAATTTGGCCTAGTGCATAAACAAAATGTATTTTTTCTTGTTGTTGATAAAAAAGTGCCAAAGCAAGAAGTATGTAGCACAATTATGAAACAAACTATAAATTCCATCCAAAATCAATGAAAAGAAAGGTGATTTAAAATACAAAAAAGTATGTTTCTTAGATATAGTAAATCACAGTGGTCCTGAGTATTTCAATATGGAATAATTAGAAGTTTAAAACAGTACCTATTACCATATGTATTTCTTTCATATATATAATATTCAAATTTATTATACTTCAAAATGTGTTAATTTTTCCTCATAAGCTATATCATCTTGACAAAGTATTTCCCATATCTCATTTTCATAATGCCAGTTGATTAAAAAGAAGCCTCCAGCTGATTGGTGAAGACCAAGAGCTAGAAAGACAACAGTACTGGGACTGTAATCCCAGGGTAGCTATTTACTACTTTGGAAGCCACTTTATCTTTCCTAATGTGGAATTAAAATCATTACTGATCTCACAGGGCTGCTGCGATGATAAATTAAATATTGTGCATAAAAGTGCTTATAAGGTTCCTGGAAAAGAGTAAGAATTTAACAAATGTGGGCTGTCATTGTTTTGAGAAAATGCATTGCATCATTCTGATAATGATAAGAAACCAGCAAGATGATCTGGAATACATGATTCCTCACAGTCACAGTAGCTTTGAGTCAGTGACTCCATGCCTCGTTATGGTAACAAAAAGAGATGGAGATGATAAAATTGTGTGAATGTGTAGAAGTCACATACATATGTCGGTATTAATGATAACAAAGTTGACATCATTAGTATCAGTCAAGAGCAAGCTGTAACAAAATTCTGGACCTTCTTAGTCATCTTAAAATTTTATAGTTTAAGCATTATATGCTATTAGCTTAAAATGTTGTCATTAAAATCTAATGCATAATATTTGAACTTTTAATGAAGAATCTAAGCCCCTCAAATCATACTCCCACATTGAAAAAATATTACTTTTATGGTACAATTTTTATAATATGATGTTTCTTAAGAACAGAAAAACATTGGTACCTAAGATATATTTCTAAATTGGTATTTGAATGTCAACATATATTACTATCATAATAAAGAGTTGATGGCCAAGATCTGCAAAACAGGATATACCTGTTTATTCTTTTTTATTTATTTATTTTTTTGGTTACCAGGGATTGAACTCGGGTCCTTGCACTTGCTAGGCAGGCCGCCAAACCACTGAGCTAAATCCCCAGCCCTACCTGTTTGTTCTTGATTTACATTAAGTGCTCTCTGCATTAGGCAAATTTAACTTTGCAAATTCTTTGAGTATAGTGTAATTTTTTAGCAAAGAGCATTTTTCATTGAATTTAGCAAAATCAAATCATTTTTGTGAACCAGACTTCAGAAAGCTAAAATAGAAATTGAGTGTCACTTATACCAAAGGGAGGACTTTTACTTTCAGGCTTAGACTATGTGGAAACTTAGCATATACAATTATGTCAGCCTCTTCATTTCAGCATTCTAAAAGATTTTTTTGGCACACAGTACGTATTCAACAAACTATGTTGAATTAATGACAAAGTTGGAAAATATCAAGATACTATTAAGGGTATAATAAAATCATTCCCAGCTAGAATTAGAACTGTATCAAGAAGGTTTGACGTAGGCTTTGAAAATGAACTTAATTTACATTGCAAATTTTAAAAGATAGTATAACCTTGTTCAATTGAGTCTGCAATATACATTATGCAACCACGTAGAATGGTTTAAAAAGTGAATTCTGCCCTCTGTAGTACTTGGAAACTTCTATGTGTCGTCGAGGTTAGAAGTTCTATTTCCTCTGTCAGATTTGGCTGCCCGAGGGTGAGGCAGCGCTCTCTGCCTCCATCAAATCAGGCGTTCTCACTTAAGAAGCACACCTGCAAAATCTCTTTGCTATAGATTTACAGAAAACTAATTTCAGAAAAGCACTAACAGTGTGTCAGTGTGTGTGTGTGTGTGTGTGTGTGTGTGTGTGTGTGTGTTAGGACATACGCTTTTACAAAGGTCTGTCCTGTGTAAATTTCCCTTCTATCCATCTCCCTGTCCTAGGACCACCTTCACAGTGATCTGTCTCTTCAAAATTCAGTTCAAGTTTCTCAGAAGCTCCTCTGTCACACACTTTGAATTCCTCTTTTCTCTCTCTAGGAGGAGCTTTCATTCCTTGCTCCCTTTGGTGTACAGATTCAAACATCACCACAGCTGGGCTTGTGCACTTTGTGTTTCAGTTCTAGACAAGTTGTCTGTTCTCATAATCTAAGCAGGTCTTGATGTGCCCTCCCAAACCTACTCACCATGTTTTCTACAAGACAAGTAAACTGCTAAGATTAACATGACCTTTCCCCTGAGCAATCACAGCTCAACCCCACATTGAGGAAAGGGAAATTATTGTTAGATGCCATGTATTCTATAACCTAGAGGCAACAAAGATAGCTAACATTTGTCACACATGGTCTTTTGCTACCCTGAAAGACTAGCCACGGTTTTGTTGGCTGAGGTCTTATTTTCTCAAGACTAATTTCCTGAGAAAAATGAAGTGTGTAATACTTTCCAATCCATTCCATTTCCAATTTATTTCCATCCAGAAGCACATTGACACTGAATAAATATATCAAACAATCCAGAATTACAGTGGAACTTAAAGGAAATTGTTCATCATGACTAAAGAATGAGAAAACATGGGAGTTAGGTTGGGCCCAGAAGTAAGGTTAGATAACCAAAGGTTTTTAGTCAAGCAAAGGAGTTTGAATACTAGCATTTTGGCAACAGCTAGAGCTGACACCATTTTAAGAGAAATGATACTAGTCAGGAAGCCCTGATTTTCAGGTTCAAGTTCCAGAAAAAATGTTCTAGGAGGAAACACTCTCTGACTTACCATTGTATCTGTCCTCTTAAAACACACTCTTGGCTCAGCTCAGTGACATAAGTCATAAAAGGGAAAGTTCTATCCACCCAGTCACACTCTATCCCATGTGATATACCTACTCAGTATGCAGACTTCTAGAAAAAGGCCAGAATCAGTATCAGAAATGGCTTGTAAGTCAAATAACCTCTGACTTGCTTTCACAGAAAAATCTTGGACTTCATTGTAAAAGAGGACAAAAATACCCACAAAACAGTTATAAAGATGAAATAAAGGGAAATTTCTCTTTCTCCTCTTCCAATTATTTTCACAGTAAAAAAGAAAAAGAAAGTTTAAAAGAAACATAAAAGCTCACTTGGCACATAAAAGTATTTTATCACTTTAAATGCAAGTCAAATTACTGCCTATAATTTTTGTTTGTTTGTTTGTTTGTTTGGAGTTACTGTCACATTAGAACTCAAAACTTCCCCACAACCATTATATATATAGTACAGTGCATTCCGTGGGGCATTTTCTTCAAGTAATTATAGACACTTTAATATGATATGCTTTTAGTTTGTACAATGTGTTTCATGCAAATCACATTTCAAAAAGCTGTGCAGAGCTAAATAATTCACTTAGAGAATTCAATAATACATAAGGGGAATGGAAAGAAGAAATCAGGAGACATCGGCTAGACAGAGCATTGAAAACCTGGAGTTGTTAATAAAAGAATTAACTCTGGTGCAGCAAAAAATTAATAGTGATCCAAGCAATTGCTGGAGAATATGCAAAGTGCATGGAGATGTGAGATATTATCATAAATTTAATATTCCTTATCTGGTTAATAATAGGCCAAAGTAAGTTAAAACAAATGCCATAGGTCCAGGGATTTAACTCAGTGGTGCCACCACCTGCCTCACAAGAGCAAGGACCTGAGTTTGATACCTGGTACCAAAGACAAAACAAAACACCATGAACATAAGAGGAAATATTTCAAAGGCAGAAATGAAGAAGTCAGTAGAATTTGTAAGGATGTAACAGAAACGTCTTTATCCATCTCTCTGAATGTTGGATGCTGTAAGATACTTTGAAGTAATAAATATTTGCTTTCTTGAATGAAAATGTATGGTGGCCGCAACAATTCCTGAAACTGATCGAGGTTTCATGGAAATTCATGGAAACTTAGATTTGGGCTATAAGTTCTAATCCCATGGTGAATTAGCTATTTATCTCCAGAAAAGGGATTTAACCTTGTGTTTTATATTTTCTTATTTGCACAATGCTGCATATAATAAATGGGCAGAAAAGAAAAATAAAGCAATTTGTAATATGTAATAATTATTAGCAAATATTACTTGTTAGCTGTTCTTATGTCCTCTTCTCACCCCTTTGGGACTGGATATTCTCTGCTCACTTCATTTTGGTACTTAATTCAACCAACAGATGTTTATTGGGCTCTTACATAATTCAGGGGACTACATCTGCACTTCCAATAGTATTGAATAAAAGAGATACAGCTTCCTTACAGTCTAATGAGCAAGAAAGACACTAAAAAAGTGAAGAAACAAATCACAATTCCAATGTGGAGTTTCATAAGTATTAAAAGGAAACAAAAGCTAACACACAAAAAATAGAG